TAATCCTCATGTTGATATGACTTTGGAAATCGTTCAGGATGGCAATGTTTTAATTGATGATGGTTTTACGGGTGTGGCTGAGAATTTGCTTTCTCCTAATGCTCTTCCCTTCTTTCCTTCGTCTATCGATTCTGGGCAGTTGGCTGAGAAGGTTGTTAGTGAGAATTTGGCTGAGAAGGTTGTTAGTCCAAAAACTAATCTGGTTGTTTGTGAGAAATTGGTTTCTAATCCTAATGTTGTTGATGATGGGCTGCCTGGTGATTCAGCTGTGTTGGGCAATGCGGAGGATTCCGAGAGTAGAAAGGTGCACTCTTCAGTGGGGGGCCAAGTGCTAGGTAATTTTATTAATGTACCTGTTAAACTTTTAGCAGCCAATATTGTAGTGGGATCAAATTCTGGAAGGGATGTTACGTCACTTGGTGATTGGTTGATCAATTCGTCTGAGGTTGATTCTGATTCTGATTCCATTTCAGATCCTGATTTTGATTTTAAAATGGTTCCTGATAGGACTCTTAGGGCCAGCTTGCGTGGGAAATTGTGGAAGCGAGGTGGTAGAAGAAGATAATCTGTTTAATTTTTGCTCGCTGCTGGTGTCTTCATCTGTTGGTTTTTCATTTGGATGATTAATTACTGGGCTATGATGTGCTGGGGCTCGCACCATCGTCGACTCTCCTGTGGCAACCGTTGGAACCCTTCTGGATGGTCCTTGAGGGATCTCGAGGTGCTGGTAGTCTCGGTGTTCTACTGAGCCCTCTTTTGGATTGCCTTTATCTCGTTTGTGGGGTATTTTGGTTGGTTCTTTTTCCTGTTACTTATTATTTCTGCTCACTTCTGATGTAACCCTTTCAATTTTTAATGAAATTTTTTGTTCAAAAAAAAAAAAAGTGTCATATATTCAGTCCGTTTGTAATTAAAGGGCTGTTTGATTGTTAATATTTAGAATTTAGAAGAATTTCAAATGTAGTGTGTGCACGCACGTTTTTAAAAAATTAATTAAACTTTGGGTTTAGGTTTGAATTAGTTTATTGATTAAGTTGTTCTAAATTTGTGATTATATTGTTAATGACTTATTAAACTTGTGATTTATGTTTTGCATTCCATCAAGTTTATTTGTGGCATTGGCATAACGAGCATAAGGATCCAGGACTTTCTTAGAAAAGTTAGCCACGCGCACCTCGAGATAGTTTAGCCTAAAAAACTTTATTATCATAATGTTGATTGTTCATTTCAGTGATATTATTTGATTTGATTGATTAAACAGATGATTTACTACAAATTTGATCATTTATTGAATTTTGATAATTTCTTGAATATTTTAATGCATTAAATAAATGGTCAATTTCTTGACCTTTTTATTTATATTGAATTTTAGATTTTTTATATTTTAAATAAATATTAGATCCTTAAATGACTAAAATTTCAATGAATTTGCTTAATTTGAATTTTTCTACGATTTGTTATAAGTTTTCAAAGTTTAGATGTTTTATTGAATTAAGTTGATCAAAATATTAACTTTTTTTTTTTAAGAATTCTTGTGATTTGGTATTTTTTATGAATATTAGACCCATGGATAAGTCTAATGCATTTGAGTTTGCACAATTTTAAGATTTCTATATATGATTAATTATGAATTTTTGAAGTTTGTGTATTTAATGGAACTATTTTATTACTTAATTAAAGGGATTTTCTTATTTTTTTATCAAATTTATTTCAAATTACTTGAAATCTTACCCAAACATCAGGAATGACTTGTGGGGTTGATTTCGATTATTTAGAATTTATTTGGTATTTTATTATTATATTTAATTTTTTTTATTTTAATTAATTATTAAATTTTATTCACTATTAAATATTTTTAAATTCAAAATTGAATTTTAGGGGCTTTTAATTTTCTTTGATTATGTGTTTTATTATGAATAGGACACAATGGAGAAAAAGGATTCATGTAGCCGACCCCACGTAGTGGGATAAAGGCTTAATGTTGTTGTTGTTGTATGTGTTTTATTATGAATAATTTAAGCCTTAATTTGTAATTTTTAGATTTGATTTGAACTAATTATGAATTAATTAAGGCCATAAGCCAATTATGCAGACCAATTTTGGGACTTCTAGATGGTGGGTCAAAGGTTAGCCAAATCCCATAGTTTAAGTCCACTAAGTTTGGCCTTATGATGGACACTCTAAGGTTGGGGTGTCAATATTTGACACGACCAGAAAATCCGACTCGAACCCGACCTGAAAAATTCGGGTTAGGGTCAACTCGAACCAAAACGGGTCGGTTTCGAGTTCAACAATTTGACCTGTTTCAAAAATCTCGTTTGGTTCATATTTACCCTTTGACCCAAAAACCCATTTTTGACTCGGCAAACCGACCCGTTTTAGGACCCAAAAACTAGCAATTTTTTATTAGCACTAGGTCATTCGGGTTGTGTCAAGTTGACCCGGACCCGAAGCTGGTCGAGTTCGGGTCCAAAAAACTGACCTGTTTGAAAAAAAAGGGTCAGATTCGGGTTAACCTGAATAGTGTCAGATCAATTTCGGGTTCGACCCGAACACGACCCGTCAGCCGAAATTGACACCCCTACTCTAAGGTGGTTAACTTAATCACATGAGGTAAATGCATCTATGCAATTAGGGATTTATCTTTTGCTAACTAGCCATAGGATTTGGGTGCAATTAGAGGTTCTATAACCCTTACGAAATGCACAGAAAACACAAAAAATGCATAGAAAATACAATTAAAATAATTATTAATTAAATATTTAAGAAATACTTTTACTAATATTTAAATTACATTATAGTTGATTGTTAAATATTTAAATATTTAATTATTATCTAAAATATTAGTTAAAATTATACTTGAGTGACATGGCGCTTTATTATTAATCTCTGGATGCATTCGGTGTCCGGACCCAATAATTACTCGATAAAATGAGCCTTTATTTATCCTCCTTTACAGTTTGACAGTAGAGTAACTATATTGATAAAACTTGTCATTTCTCTCCCATCTACCATGCTCTCTCTCTCACAATTAATTATTCTGTGCGCCAGATCATCCTTGTATGTCCTTGATACCACGGCTCGATACCGCTGACGTTGTACATTGTGATTGGTCTCCAAATAGTGTTCTACTCCCCACATAATAATTTCTCCTTTCTCACATCCTCTCCCTCTCTTTCCTCTCAAACTTGAATAAGTCAAATTATTTGGGGCATTTATAATGCACCGAACTGTTAAATGCGTCAAATTATTTGATGCTCCTATAATTCTGCCTCTTCCTTCTTCTGTAATTCTGCCAATTAAATTGCTCATTCTTAAAATAACTCTTATACTAATCTCAATACAAATACAAAAGTTGATAAACTATTCTATCTCCTATTTTTTTCCCTTGAGATTCCTATCCTAAAGAATAAGGCCTTGCATCTTCAAGTTTCCCTCCAAGCAAAAGCTACCTTAATTCTACAACAAAGTTAGAATCTCATGCATTAGCTTAACTGATCAAGTAAAGCTCCCAATTTCGCACATCTCACATAATTGCCTTTAGCCACACTCATAGCACATCTAACCACAAGAATCATCTCCTTCCTCCCTGCTCTCATATTTCTATGGGGAGAGAGAGAGAGAGAGAGAGAGAGAGAGAGAGAGATGAGTTCCAGCCAGAGAACCTTGGTGGTGTACCCAAACTCGACCTCAGCGCAGCCTTTGAACTCCAACGAGAAGGGCTCCTTTGGACCGTTGATTGCAGTTGTATCGGTGATCCTTGTGCTGACTGTTGCAGCTTGCATCATCGGTCATTTCTGTGCTCGACGTTACCTTCGCCCACGACCCCGAAGAGACCAGCCGGTCTATTACTCCAAAGATGATCTCGAAGGCTTGCCGGAGAGTCGTTCTCCGGCAGCGGCCGCCGGAGGGGGCATCCCTGCTGGCGGCTCAGCCATTCATGGGGCGGCTTAATGCTAATGATTGAAAATTTGATATGTTTTGTTTGAATGTCTCCGTCGTTATATTATAGCAAATGATTGTATAAAATGATTGAACCACGGAATTCGAATCTTAAATTTTCAGTAATAATGTTTCAGATTTAAATAATCTTATCAGTCTCTTACAGTCTCACTTCTAAGAATTTACATCCATAAAAGTATGACAATCTGAGAAGGCATTTGCACAAACATCTTAGACGCGTATAGCTGTTTCTTGATCGTCTACTAAAAATTTCAGTTTTTAGCAGCATATTATTGTAGCGATTTTCAAATGGCTGTTGTAGATGATCTATGGAAGCAGTTTAAACCGCCACTTTTGATAAATGTACAAAATCTACTTCCTCAAGCACTAAATCGTTCAATATGCGATAGTAGCCCTGCCCCAATTCTTTCTTCCTGCACTTCGTTCTTCTCTCCCGGCCTTTCGCCCCACTATGAATCTCTTCATCCTTCACTTCTTACTTCTCTCCCGGCCATCGATTTAAGCTTCCCTGGCGATCTATAGTTTCAATCGAGTGTCTTCCTCGGCCTTCGTCGCGACCGGGCCTCATCTGTCGAACAAGAAGGCATATCGAAAGGCTTTCATCAAGAATCATCACGATAAATGAGTGGATCCAGATCAGGCAAGTGATTATATGGACTTCAGTGTTATGCAGAAGTGTTTTGGTTTCCCCCTCACGCAAATTCGAAATAAACCTCGAAGATTGGAATATTTTCTATTAATGATTTACTTGAATATAATATATAGAGAGATCTTGATCACTTAATTTAATAGAACAATGCCTTATAGGGGAATTTTTATTGCCTCAGGTTATCTGATGTAGAGATACATCAGATAGCCTATAATATATCGCCACGTGCTCTTATTCTTTACCGCGCGGCCCGACGACCTAACCCGAAACGAATCCGGGATTACTATGTTCGCGTATTGCTCGGTATTTGCTCGGTATTTCTAGGGACTACTCGGTATTTGCTCGGTATTGCTCGGTACTACTCGGTATTTGCTCGGTATTTTTATCAATGACGCCAACTCCAAACTCATCTCCCGCCCGAGTGCACCGCGGCCGCCTCAAATCCTTCAAGAACAGTTTTGTTGGAAGTAAGATGCCTACCGAAAGAGAACTGGACCTCGGCGAAGGCATCAAAGGCAGAGGGAAGTGAGGAATTTGAGAAGAGTGTAGAGATATTAAAAGAATCGTTCTTTTCACTGGCGGAGGGAGTCTGCCTGAAGGCTTGGAACAAATAGGATTTTTTTTTTTCAGATCCAGCAGTTTCCATCCAACACGATACATTCTCTCTACATATGGTTTGTTAATCACCTATTAAAAGTGATTTCCCGATTTGATTGTTAATCTTTGTCCGCCGGAAGGCATCGTTGGCGGAGCGAGAAGAAGAGGATAACCTCTCCTCTTGCTCTTCTTCCGTAGAAGAGTAGCTTCTCACGCTGCCCGGCAAGAAATGCCGCAAATACCGAGCATCTGAAGCTCCGTCCCGATCTCAAGCGAAGAAATGCCGGAAATACCGAGCAAATACCGAACAATACCGAGTAGTAACTAACAATACCGAGCAACACCGAGCAAATACTGAGCAAATACCGAGTAGTCCCTAGCAACTTCGTAGAAATACCGAGCATATTTGTTCCGGGTTGGGTCGTCGGGCCGCGCGATAAAGAGTAAGAGCACGTGTCGATATATTATAGGCTACCTGATGTATCTCTACGTCAGGTAACCTGAGGCAATAAAAGGGCGAATTATTACGTCCGGTCACCTGACGTCCGGACATTCAATCCAGATGTGCCATGTCACCCAAATACATCGGGGCCCGGTGTATTTTGGCTACGTGGTCCGTCTGGATTGGTGTCCGGACGAATCCGGACACCGGACGTAATAATTTGCCTATAGGGAGAGGCAATGTGAGAAGTTCGACACCTATAAAATTCGTAAGAAGACCTGTAAGACGTTCGACACGTGCAGAATCTCTACAGAATCAATTATTGTTCTCTTGATAATACAAATCATGTAATTTTTTCATAAAATTTTCTTTTAATCTCTGCAAAAGAATATATATGTAAGCATTTCTCGATCTCTTTGCATTAGTCTGCTATAAGAAGAGAAGTTGCAGATGCTTTCATAAATTTCTTTTCATTGTTAGCAACTTTCTCCAATCCCAGCTCAGTTGATCTCAATTTATTTATTTCTAAGTAATGCTTTGTTGCTAATATTGTAGTGTAGAAAAAGATGATATTATGCCGGGAATTATTTGGTTCGGTACACTCCTCTACGTTCGGCCACCAACCTTTTAGCGTCACGTAGCACGAAGAAAAGTCGCCGACCCGACCCGCTGTTTTTTGGGTTCTAGTGCGTGCGTTTTTTTAATTCCTTGACGAACCGATCAACATTCCATCACCTTTTGGATATATTTTAAATATCTAGCAAATACCGAGTTGTACCAAGTTTTTTATAGCAATACCGAGTAAATACCTAGCAATACCGAGCAAATCCCTAGCAATACTAAGCAAATCTTGAGCAAATACCGAGTTTTTTCTAGCAATACCGAGCAAATACCTAGCAATACCGAGCAAATCCTTAGCAATACCGAGCAAATCCTGAGCAAATTCTGAGTTGTACCGAGTTTTTTCTAGCAATACCGAGCAAATACCTAGCAATACCGAGCAAACCCGTAGCAATACCAAGCAAATCCGGAGCAAATACCGAGTTGTAGGAAAACTCGGTACAACTCGGTATTGTATAGTTTTGGTCTTCACAGAGCGGTATTTCTCATTTTTGCAAAAGCAATACCGAGCAAATACCGAGCAATACCAAGAAAATCGCGAACATAGCATTCCCGGGTTCCGCTCCGGGTCAAGTCGTCGGGTCGCGCGGTAAAGAGTAAAAGCAAGTGGCGACATGTTATTGGCGGCCGAACGTACCTCTACGTCTGTTCCTCATTTTTACTTTCCTTTAATTATTTTCATGTAAAAAAAAAAATTACTATCTAAAAATGTCCAATTTTTTTTTTTTCCTGGACACTCACAGCCTCCCATATTTTTCCATTTTTCTAGGAGAAGGCATGCATAATGTGGAGTATTTGAGCAATTGAGCGTGTTGATTTTATTTTCCAAAATTTCTAGGAAATTAGCTATTATTTAAACAGCCCTTATGTGAACTGAAAATGGTTTAATTTCAGCAATATATTATATTCTCTAGCAAAGATGAAAAATATTAACATGATTGATAATAACTTTTTAGTTTGCGGATTTTATTTATATCAGTTTTTTTCGTTTTTTGAGATTAATTAGTGAATTATATAAAGATACATGTACGTTTTCCTTTGGAAAGGTAAGAAAAAATAATGCCTAGCTTTTTCAATTTGTTGTTTTTGCTAATTGAATTTAATTATAATAACATTTATTGGTGTTCTCTAAAGAAATTAAGGGCACTTTTTGCCTTTAATTTGCTTCAGTTTTCATATAGGAATTTTATTATCCATCTGTAAATCATGTCAAATAAAAGCATTGAAAAGATTTTTTTTTTTTTTAAATTATGGACTTTTGTGACGATTATAACAACCACAAATCTAAAAATTTAGTGGTAGTTATAAATGCTTCAATAGCTCCAGATTTGTGGCTGTTAAAATTGTTGCAAAAAATCCTTTCCTGCTAGTTGCAAAGCCATTTTGCTACGAAACCAAATATAGCAGATATGTGACAGTTTTGAAACCGTTGCAAATATTTTTGTGGTGTTTATCATCGCCATCAAAGCCTATTTAAAGTGTTGTGAATGATTTTTTTAGTAGCATCATGCATGACTAAATCCAACGAATTTCCACACCAATTACATGACATTTCAGCAGCATTGTCATCCTGCATCAAATTATTAACCATTCCTTGAATGTCCCTGCCTGTAGCGCCATGGGGATTCAGATGATGCAAGAAGTATAAATATAGGAATTTCAATGTATATGTAATCTGTTAGCTGACATTGTTTCCTCCTGTTCTATCTCACAACTTTACCGTTGTCAGAGAGATTATTTGAAAATTGTTAAATTTATTAAATATTTTCACATTTGTAAAAAAGTTATAAAAAAACTTTGACGTTTCTCCAGAAAATCAGATTCCGTCAAACACTTCAACGAACCTTTTCCTTTCCAAATTTTATCTTTATCAAGCTGCTTCTACTACATCACCCAAAGAATATAAAATTCTTACTACTGACAATGATGTGAATGAGTTGGTTAATCAATTGAAAGGGAATGTACGTGTTGAGATTGTAGTTGCAGTTCAAGAAGATGATGGAAATGAACCAATTTCAAATCCTATGGAGGTTGTAAGTGTAGACGAGATGGTTGAATGTTCCATTACAAACATGGGTGCTAAAGATTTAGAAGTTGGCACACTCTTCAATGATGCAATAACTTTCAAAAACGCTCTGCGATCAATAGCCATTAGAAATAACTTTGGTGTTATAATTAAAGCAAGTGATAAGAAACGTGTTATTGCAACATGTTCTTACCAAACATGTCAATGGAGAATTCGGGCATCCCTTTGTGAAGATACTCAGTCTTTCCAAATAAGGAGAGTAGATGGAGTACATACTTGTCCTGGTGTTAATCGTGCAGGGAATAGACTCGCCACATCTGCTTGGGTTGCTAATGAAATTCAAGATTTAGTGAAGAGACACCCAGACATTCCACCGAAAGAAATCAAGAGCAATCTAGAGAAAGAATATGGTTTATCAGTACCTTACATGAAGCTATGGAGAGCAAGAGAACAAGCCCGTGATGCAATTTTCGGTTCAGTTGATGATAGCTACAAATGGGTTCCAACATTGAAAGCTGAATTACTTGAAAGAAATCCGGGGTCACATATTACATACACATTTGATAGTTCTGATCATGCCTTTCAAAGATTTTATGTAAGTTTCAAAGTGTGTGCTGATGGATTTCTTAGTGGTTGTAGACCTCTTATAAGTGTGGATGCTTGCCACCTTAAATCAAAGTATTTGGGTATGCTTCTATCAGCAAATGCACTTGACGGCAATAATGGTTTATTTAATATAGCTTATGCGGTTGTTGAGACAGAATCAAAACAAACATGGACATGGTTTCTTAGCAATTTGGGTGATACTATTGGTAGGAACTTGCATCCACTAGCTTTCATATCGGACATGGAGAAGGGTTTAGGCGATGCTATAAGAGAAATTTATCCAGAAGCAGAGCATAGAGTATGTATTCGTCATTTGTGGAAGAATATATAAAAAAAAATCCATTGCAAAGATGGGCAAAAACTTCAAGGGTTGGTTTGGACAGCAGCAAATGCTTACACAACACAATTGATTTTAATGAGAAGCTTGCTGAGGTATCGAATGTAAGTCCAAAAGTTCACTCATACCTACTCTCATTACCTTACAAGTGGTCCATAAGCCAATTCATGATAGGGATTAACCATGCCGCCAATACTAACAATTTTGCTGAATCATTTAATTCATGGATTGTTGAAGCTAGAAATAAACCTGTTGTTGACCTGGTTGATATCATTCGTGGTATGCTTATGGAACAAAGGGATATGCGAAAAATGAATAGCATGACTTGGCATCGAGAGTTAGTACCGCAAGAGGAAGAGTACATAAGGAATATTACAACCAGGAAAGATCATCTAATAGTCCGTCAATCAAGTGTTTGGAAGGCTGAGGTGGAGGGCGTACATTCAAGACATATTGTTGATGTTGAAAAACGAGAATGCACTTGTAGAGTGTGGGAAGTGACCGGACTTCCATGTATCCATGTCGTGGCGTTCATTGGCATGAAAGAACACCCATTGTGGCATTCATACATTGATGAACACTAGTATGTAGACAGGTAAAAATAAACTTCATTAAATTACTTGATATTGTTAACATGTTGCATAACTAGAGGATGTCATAATGTATAGGTATAGAATTGCATACGATGGAGCAATTGCCACGCTACCTGGGAAAACTCAGTGGAGAGTAGCGGATGATGTTTTCCAAATTGGAGTGCCAAATTCATCTAGACCAAGGGGTAGGCCTCGAAAAAGAAGACTACAAAATTTCTTGGAGAAGGAGAAGAAAGCTCATAAATGTGGTAGATGTGGTCTTTGGGGAATCATCGAAGTACTTGCAAGAACTCGTTGCAAAAACAGAGCGACGAGGGCACATATTCTACACAGGATGGCATCACGAGACAAGATAAGTTGGCAAGCAGAAGGAATGTTGATGACAGTGAATTTGAAGAATATGAATATTCATATCTTGATGGTTTATAAATGCATCCATGAAAAGGTTTTTGTATGAATCATTTTATTTTTGCATGAAGTTTTGGATTTTGTATGAAGTTCATTTTGTATTAGAAAATGTTCATTCTGGTACTTTGTATGAAGTTCTTTCGGGGCTTCAACTCTGAACAACAAAAATGTTCAAATTCTAGTACTTCGTTCACGTTTAATAGAAAAAAGAGCGACAATGGACCAACTGTAAGTTGATTGCTGAACAGCAAAAATGATTCTCTTCAAGTTTATTCGTTCACGTTTTATGCCTATGGTTGTTATGTTTTCCAATCCATGCTTGAGATCTCATCAACTCGATCATCTCTTGATGACCAAATCATTTCTATATCAGGTGGAGTCTAGTGATATAATGTTTGTTTTGCTGCTTTGTCGCCTTTGGAGGACAAACAACTGACCTTGGAGATGTTACAAAAATTAAGCTTTGAGTTGTTACATGAGTTTCTGGAACTTTTTTCACTGAGTTAGTAGAGCTGATTTTGCCCCCCATTTCACTAGTATGATTGCACTTTGATAGAATGATTAGCTGAATAGCTTTTGTATAATAATATGATGACATAGAATTAGGTATTGACAGGAATATACCAAACAACACAATTTAATCAAAACATCATTTATACCAAAAGTTTGCGAGATACAAGTTCTTTAATGAAGATACAACACTTACGCAAAATACACTTACACACTACAAACACAACAAAAGTTACGCAAAATACATCCTAATGATGTTCCATTACAAACATTGTTACGCAAAATACATCCTAATGATGATGTCGATAGCAACTAACATAATAAAGACTTTCATCTGAAATATGAGCAGGTCCAGCTTCTTCAAACCTTCTCATCTATGCCTCTCCAAGCATAATGTGTGTCAAGAGAAGGCTCTTCTAATTCATTTATCCATTTAAAAAAATTGCAGTCGTCATCTGTCCGATTATGAATGCACCTATAAAATTGCTTGCCTCGATTAAGTCCTCGGTAGCAAGTGTACACTACACACTTCAAATGACAGTGACAATAAACTTGAGAATGCTGCCGTATTTCTTGCCTAACAGAAGAATTTACTGAACTCATTGGGGACGGAATACGGCAGAGAATCTGTCAAATATGAAAAAAAGGGATTCTGTAAAATAAACCTAAAGCATATTTTGTAAAATAAAATGAAAAAAAACCTAAATTCTATAAAATTCTGAAAAAAAATTCTGTAAAATACAGTGCCAATAAACTTCATCCATTTTGCTTGCTTCATAAAAACTTAAAGCAGAATTTTGAAAGATCGCGAAAAAAAAACCTGGATCACTTCGAACTACCGAGCAGATTTCTGTAAAATACTGTGACAATAAACTTCATCCATGTTGATGCTTGCTTTATCAACAATGTCCAGCATATTTTGAAAGAAATAAAAAGCCGAGACGAAAACGACCATAAAAAGCAAGACAACAAAATGCGGCAAGGTACCAAACCTTCGGAGCAGATGCAAAGGTGATGCAATTCGACGTCACGAGAGAAACCCCTTCTTCCGTGAACACACCCTGGATCACTTCGAACAACCGAGCAGGACGGAGGGGATGCAGCGGAGCACGGGAAGGGAACAGCTCGCAATTTTGGGAGATAACGTCGTGACCTAGATAAACGACGGAGTGGTATATTTGAGGTTATATTTGTGTTAGGGTGGTGTAAATGAAATATTTATGTTTTAGATGTTAAATATGTAAAATAGGTAATATAAAGTGGTATGGCCATAAAAAACCCTTAAAAATTTCCTTCTAGAGACCCTAAGGCGATCGGACTGGTGCTATCGAGTCCACGCGGTCGTGCAAGATCTCTATGAAGCGAAGTTTGTTAAACGGCGCCCGTCTCCGCACTTGTGGAGGCGCCATTGTCGTCGCCGCCAGATCCATATGCAGTGGCGGATCTTGGAGATCCACCTCTGTTTGGAGTTTTGGGGATAACAGCAATGGCGCCTTGGGAATCTCCTCGCCGCTGCTCGACGCCTACGAGCCCACGAAGGTTCCATCGCTCCCTGCCAACGTTACGACCATTGCCTCCGGCCACTACCACTCCCTCGCTGTTAATGCTGACGGAGAGGTCTGGGCTTGGGGTAGAAACGAGGAAGGCCAGCTCGGCCGTGGGCTCGACGCGCCCAGGTCCGTCCTTTCACCATTTTTCTCTCGCTTTAAGCAACCTGTCTGTTTAAATCAATTCAAGTGTGTTCCTTTCAATCAGTTTACAGCGAAACGTTTCTCTGTTGATTTGTGCGGTAGCTTTGTTTATGCACGATTTTGATTTGATTTTCCATTCGAATAGTTTTATGGAAATTTTATTGAGGGATTTCTTTAACTTTCGATGGAGATGTGCTACGGTATGAAGTTGAGCTGTTGTAGAAGTGTATGCATAGATACGTACTTGAGTATGCTGAATGGGATTGTCTGGATGTTTAGTGGATTATCTTAAGTAGTTCACTTTTTCATGCTAATTTATAATTCCGCAGCCATGCTTGTACGGTCTCTTGTTCTTTTAAAGTTTGTATTTATATACAGAGATAAATGGAGACAACCAGAAAGGGTTTTGGGATTGGATGATGTTAATGTCCAAGCTGCATATGCTTCTGGCGTGGTTTCTGCTGCTGTTGGGGATGATGGATCCTTATGGGTTTGGGGTAGATCAAAAAGAGGCCAGCTTGGTCTTGGTAAAGGAGTCACAGAAGCTGTTAAGCCAACCAAAGTTGAGGCACTTTTAGGACATGAGATATGTAAGGTGTGACTTTACAAATGTAGAACGTTGAATTTGTGCAGTTAGTCCTGTTGTTGATGCTTAAGAATTGTAAATTATGTAGGACTGGCATATTTATTTATTGGAGGTCACTACTGGTGTGTATTTATACTTCTCATAATTCTGAGATTCTTGTATCTGTAATGCATTGCTTCGACAAATTTCTGCTACATATGCATTTGCAAGTTGCATATGATGTGATGCAATGTTTGAATTAACGGTTTAATGCTTGCTTTCTATGCTAAGCTCATAAATATATGATTAGTCAAACTGAATCTAGTAAATAAAAGAGTTCTATGTGTTATTTTATCATGAAACAGGTATCTTTTGGATGGGGACATGCATTGGCTTTTACAAGAGATGGGAAACTATTTGGCTGGGGCTATGCTGAGGATGGAAGGTTAGGGAAGATGGGGGAGGCATTGATCAGCTCGAGTGTGCAAGAGCCTAATTTTTATAGCTCCTTGGACAAGTCCGTTTCTATGTTTGATGTTGCTGAGAAACTTGTTGCTGAAAAGATGGAGAAGGAAAATAACATGCCAATAATTTGGGCGCCTTCTCTTGTTCAAGAACTTAGTTCCATTGAAGTTTCTGATGCAGCTTGTGGTCTTGACCATTCACTTGTTCTCTGCTGTGAGTTTATTTTGTTATTTATTTTATCTCTCTGTGAATTGCTTGTATTTATCATTTGTTCCCAATTTAAAGGTGCATATGCTCAAATGATTATTTTGTACAAAATAAGCTATTTGAATTTTATTCACATCCTCTTGTAACACATTCATCAGAACAAAAAACGAAATTGGTTAAACATAACAACAAATTAAGTAGATATTATGTTTATGTTTCACTCACTATGTAGACGCAATTGCTCGAAAATAGTATTTCAATCATCCCAAAATTTTTATGGAAAATATTTTTTGCAAATAGTATTTTATCTCAGAGATGCCTTTTTATTCACTCCTAATGGTATGATGTCATTAACATAAACAGTTAGAGATAGTCACTTTTTATTCACTCCTAGTGGTATGATGTCATTAACATAAAAAATTAGAGATAGTCACCTTAGATGGTTTGGTCGCATAAAATAACAGCCTTCCGATGACCCGATCATGAAAGTAGGTGCATTAGATTTGGCCTATGTTAAAAAAAGTAGAGGTATACCTAAAAAGATTTGGTTAGAAAATATTAACAATGATCTTTCTTTACTAGATTTAAATGAGAATTTGACTCTTAACAGTATACAATGGAGAAAAATGATTCATATAGCTGACCCCACGTAGTTGGATAAAGACATGATGTTGTTGTTATTGTTGCTAATGGTATGATGTCATTAACATAAACAATCAGTATGACAGAGCCTGAAGGTGAATGCCTAACAAAGATAAAATGATATTTAGTACTATTGCGAAGCAAAATATCAACAAGGATTTTGCTGAACTTTTTAATCCAACCAATGAAGTCTGCTTAAGCTCATAGATGACCTTCCCAAGTAGACATATGCGGTTCCCTCGTTGGGCAAAAAACCAAAAAAATTGTTCCATTTAAACCACTTAATTTAGTTCATCATAAAAGAATGCACTAATTGTGGACAATCTTTGATTGATGGCCACTAGTGGATTCAAAGAGAGTTATGTGATACAGCGTATCCTTCAAACATATCAAATGATTTTATAAAAACTGAAGCGTCCATAAACTAATTACAAGAAGCCAAAAATGGCATAACCTATTTGAATCGAGCCTGTTTTTAAGCCCCTTTTAAGTACATTTTTTTTATAGCAGAATTTCTCTTACTTTTAAAATTTTGAATAATTTTATTAGATTTTTACCAAGAATACGTTTAATTTGAATGTTATTTAAGATTGGATTTGATTTTAGGGGCTATTTGGTTTGCTGAAAATAGAATGAGTAAAATGAATGCAATTGAAAATAAAATTTGAGTGTTTTGTATGATGAAAAATGAATGCAGTGCAAAATCCTAGTGAATTCATTGTTTGTTCATTACTTCATTTTTGATGTGCTGTAAAATCACCTTATTTTGGCTGAATTCCTTTTTCACTGCAAGCCAAATACGTTGTTGCCATCCATCACTGTTGCCCACTCGCCACTGGTCGCCAAGCATTGAATGACTGCCCGTCTTCACCACTATCACCACCCGCCATCACTGCCGCCGACCATCCACTTGCATTGCTATCGTCGTTTGCCTCTAGCCGGCCGCCTCCACTGCCAGCAGCTGCTACCCATCGTCGATCGCAACAATCGCCTGTTAACTGTTTGCTAATCGCCGGTGATAAGCCGCTAGCTACCTGTAATAGCCCAAACTCTTAACTATCGAGATATTGTCAACTTTGGCTTAAGGGCCTCACAGTTTTGTTCTATTGGTGTAACTTTTTCCAAAAGATCACCCATCTCAGGATTTCTCCGGGATGAACACGCTTAACTACGAATTTTCTTATTGAAATTCCAACAATTACACCAAAACGTGCCTCAATATTTAAGAGTTTAGCTTCTTTTACTTTAGGGGTTCATCACCAGCCAACCGCTGCCCGCGATACTAGTCGCCGGCTGCCATCCACTACCATCATTTTATATTACATTGCATTAATTTTACTTTAAGCCAAATAAAAAAAATCTCTTACATTTTACTCTCATCCAAACAATTTCAAATATTTCAAATACACTATATTTCTTTTAAACTATTTATTTTACTCTTCATGTCTTTTTCAACAAACCAAGTAGCCCTTAAAGTTTGGCCATATCCTTGCAATCCAATTTCTATAAATAAGAACTCATTGTTAGAAGAGGCTCCATGATATAGGTTTTATTTGCTTTTCTTCATACAATTGCTGCATCTGGAGGGCTGGTTTGAAATCAATTGGTTTTAAATCTTTTATGATTCCCTTAGAACTACAACGCTCATAAGTAGATTTGCGTGTCACACAGAGAATTTATCATAGGATTATGAATGTTTGAGTCATGTCAACTCTATTTGTCTTCATTTTATTTTGGCATTATATCCGGATATGTTGTTCATTGTGTTATCCTCTGGACTATTAGATATCAACATGTTTGGTGAGTTGGTGATCATTGATAACAAAATAAATATTTCATTTCAAAAAACAAATTACTATGTTTATTTTTTCTTTTTGTGGAAATCCGGAAAGCAACACTGTCAGGTTCCAAGTTCTGGATGAGAAAAGTGGAGAGTTGCGTTAGGTAGTCGACAACCAGCGTAAAACTTATCGAATAATCATGACATGAATCATTTAATATATTGCGTTACTATAATACATTGCGTTACTATGCCTCAGATCGCCTCCATTCTCTCTGTTCCCTTCATAACTTCCCCTTTCCCAAGGGGGTGGTTCCCCCCAAGTGTCCCAATCATCCCTTCTACGTTCATACTTCATACCCTAGCATTTCTTTAAATTCCCACATTCTTCTCTCAAATTCAACACCCCTTTGATCATAACAAACCCCTCCCCTTTCAAATTCAACGCCCTTTGGTCATAATTACTCATTTTCCTTTCCAATCTCGGCTCTCTCCTCTCTAAATTAGCACATCTTCGTTCTTGCCCGACCTCCTCACGCCTCTCCTCACATCTCTCCTCACATCTCTCCTCATACCCTCTGCTCGACTCATCCCTAGCAATAGGCTCTAGGAGAGGTATTCTCTCTTCCCCCTTTCAAGTCACGACATCCTGATCTCCCCTTTGTCGGATTGGCTTAGGGGTTTTCCCATCTCCCTGGCTGTCGACACCTTCCTTTCCCTTCGACGGTGATATTTTGGTTTGGCCCTCGAGCATTTTCTTTAGCATCTCCTCCAAGATGGAAAATTTCGAATCGAACTTATCATGGATGGATGAAACTTCTTTTTTTAAATCTGAAACTTGAGTTTGGAGATCTAAAATTTCAGATTTCATTTGTCCAATCTCCACTTCAAGGCGTGCCTCTAACACATCCATTTTCTTGGTTGCCATTTATGCCCGAATTTTTGTAGAAATAAGCTGAACTTCGACCTTCAAAAACAATAATTTTTTTTCTTCGAAATCCCAAGAACAACTGTTGAAATTCACCAAAATGACCCACCAAAGGTCCAAAAATAGCTCTGATGCCAATTTGATCGGAAGTACTTGAATATTTCAAATAAAACCTAACACTATTGGTAAAAACAGCAAAAACAGTCCATAACTCCAATAGAAAACAACAAATACAATAATTTTATTAGAAAATATGAGGAAAAACATTTGAAATTCACTAATAAAAGAAGAAAAACAGCAAAATACAATTGATCCTCTATTCGAGAGGAGGATTGATCTCTCCGAAATCTCTAGACGCCGCTAGAGCCCAAAAGAAAACCTAAATCTAGGATATCTCAAATTTCAGCCAAATTCAAGATGCTTTAACCCTAGGAAAACAAACTATTTAATGCATACAAATCAAAAGGAAATCCGTAAACAGTCCCTTCATTCAATTTCCCTCCTAAACTCCCGTTCAAAATCCTTCCTATTCGGCTCCCTTAAACTTGCCGAAACGTTCAACTTTTCTTGGAGGCTGAAGAGTTCCGCCCAATTGGCGTAAGCCGGTCCCGTCGGGCCGGTCTAACATGTTCCCACCACAACCTATGAAAATGAGATGTGACAATCAAGCCTCTATTACGTTGCTAAGAATTTATCCATCATGATAGAATTAATTATGTTGAGATCGATAGACATTTTATAAAGGAGAAGATTAATCAAGGAATCATCTATATTATTTGCACTCAGCAAAAACTTGAGATTGTTGGTATTCTTACGAAAGCTCTTAATCAATCACAATGTGATAATTTTATTTTCAAGCTTCGGATGATCAATTTATATTCTCCGCTTGGGAGGAGTATCATTTTGTTTTTCTTTGATAAAGTTCCTTAAAATGTATCAAATAATGCTTGGGAGGAGTATTAAACTACTTAAATCAATCTCTCAAATTCAGCTTAAACAATCAACCTGAGCACCCAAGAACAACTGCTCAAATTCACCAAAATAGCCCACTTAAGGTCCCAAAAATAGCTCTGATACTAATTTGATAGGAAGTACTTGAATATTTCAAATAAAACCTAACACTATTGATAAAAACAACAAGAACAATCCACAACTCCAATGAAAAACAATAAAAAATAGTAATTTTATTGGAAAATCTGAGGGAAAACACTTGAAATTCACTAGTAAAAAAAGAAAAACAGCAAGATAAAATTGATCCTCTATTCGAGAGGAGGATCGATCTCTTCCAAATCTCTAGACGACGCTAGAGCCCAAAAGAAACCTAAATCTAGAAGATCTCAAATTTCAGCCAAACTCAAGATGCCCTAACCCTAGGAAAACAAAGTATTTAATGCATGCAAATCAAAAGGAAATCCCTAAACAATCCCTACATTCAATTTCCCTCCTAAACTCCCGTTCAAAATCCTTCATATTCGGCTCCCTTAAGCTTGCAAAAACGTGCGACTCTTCTTGGAGGCTGAAGAGTTCCGCCCATCGGACCGGCTGGACCGGTCTAACATGTTCCCACCACAACCTAGGATAATGAGATGTGACAATCAAGCCTCTATTATCATTGCTAAGAATTTTATCCATCGTGATAGAATTAAATATGTTGAGATTGATAGACATTTTATAAAGGAGAAGATTAATCAAGGAATCATTTATATTATTCACACTCAACAAAAACTTGAGATTGTTGGTATTCTTACGAAAGCTCTTAATCAATCACAATGTGACAATTTTATTTTCAAGGTACAAATGATCAATTTATATTCTCAGCTTTGGAGGAGTATCTCTTTGTTTTTTTTTGATAAAGTTTCTTAAAATGTATCAAATAATGCTTGGGAGGAGTATTAAACTACTGAAATCAATCTCTTAAATTCAGCTTAAACAATCAATCTGAGCACCCACCTGCTGCCAACTTGCAATTGCACTGCTGCTGCCCTTCTTCCCTGCCATGCTGCTTGCCCTCTTGCTGGGTCCAGTTCTCCACGAGGCTGCACGGCTCCAGCTGCTGTCACTCTCAAGGTTCTGTCTGCCAGCCCTTGATTCTTAATTGAGACAAATTTATTTCCTGCGTTACTATGATGCAACAACAACAACAACAAACTTTTATCTTATTACACAGGATCCTGCATTACTACAATGCTTTATTAAAAATTGATTAGCAAATATCATTCTTATTTCTTGCTTCCTTTATATGTGGCTGGTTATGGTCTTATTATATAATTGTATTGCTGTTTTTCTATTCTAAGATGACTTGAACACCTACAGATTGGACTTCCTTTGAACCTTTTTGAACAAGAAAAACATACTATTCTTCTCTATTTTTCAACAGTTTTCTACGAACTTAGAACCTCCTAGTAGAGACTGGAAAGCTGAAAAGCTGCATGGCTAATCCCAATTGAAGCATTTTCATATTTCAGGTGATGGCACTGTATTTAGTTCTGGAGATAACACACTCGGGCAGTTGGGGAGAGACACAGAAGGAACCAAAATGCTTCCTGTACAGATCAACAACTTCCATCCTATTTCTCTTGCAGCTGGGCTCGGCCACTCTCTGTTTTTATATCTGATACCTTCCAAGGGAGAAGCTGAAGAAGCCACAGGTATTCTTTCATGGGGTTGGAACTGCAGCTCCCAGCTTGGCCGCCATGGACCAGAAAAGGTTCCTTCTCCAGTAGCAGGACTAGATGTAAAAAGACTGGTTTCAGTCTCAGCAGGAAGAGTTCATTCAATAAGCTTGACATCAAAGGGAGAAGTTTTCACATGGGGCTCAGGAAGAAATGGAAGGCTGGGATTAGGTAGCTCTGCAGATGAAGCTGAACCTACTTTTGTTGAGTGCTTGGAAGGGCTTGAAGTCTTGCAGGCCATAGCCGGTTTCGACCATAACTTGCTTCTTATTGCTGATTAGTCTCGCGCGTTCAGAACTATTGAGTGAGCTTTTTTGCTCTGCCTAAGAGAGAAATAAGTTGGAAGGCAAGTCTTTCTTTGATTTTTTCTTTGGATTTTTTACTTGTATATTATTCTAAATATATAATGTTATTGATGAAAAATTGAATCAAAACATTTTGATCAAATGTTTATCATAATAATTTATAAAAATTGACACGTGCCAAAAAAATTTTTTTTGGTGCAAATTTTAAGCAACTGTATTTATTGATGATGGCAAAATTATTTTTTTTTTATTGTTTTTTAAAATAATTTTGATTAAAAAATTAAAAATTTTTGTGCTAAATTTTTTTTTTAAAAGCAATAAAAAAGTTGACTCAAACGAAACCTAACTCTAAACTCTGACATTGGGCTTGTTGATCCGTTCAGGTCGAGATTATGACCCGAGCCTTGATTAGGTCTTTGAGGGTTATTTCTAAATCAAATGAGAATGTTGTTTTTTTATTAGGGTGAATTTAAGGAATATATTTTTTTTAGAAATTTAATGAAAAAATTTCTTGTATTTAATAGTTTTAGCTATGATGGTATTCTTGTAAGAATTAAATTAAGATTATATACAAGTAATCATTATTGTATATAAATAATTATATATTTAGAGTGATATATTAATAAATTTTTTAAAATTGTAATTGAATTCTGGCATACATTTATTGATGCCAAAGCCATAACTCTCAATAGGCTTTTCAAATAATTTTGACTTTCTTGGAAAACAAAATTTAGGAAAAAAAAATTATGTTGTTGGTTTGTCTTTATGTACTGCGAAATTATTATGTGCGGTCATTGGATGTCATCCGGAGGCCAATCAAGACGCCCACATCATCAATTTACTATATATTATTGTGTATCTGGTAATGTGACACATCCTAATTGTTCTCGGGACGGTTCGATGATCACACATAATAATTTCTCTTACGGAGGACTGATGAAGATGAGTGTGGATTGATGTGTGATTTAAAACTATGCAATTAAATTAGAAATTTATTAATTTTATAATGTTTTTTTTTATCAAGAATTCATTAGAGATTTGAGTAATCAAAAGTTTTCTGAGGTTATTTTGCAAATAATGAACACTTATATTTGCTTACAGTCAACTAGTTGTCACAAAATATACTTCTACTATCAAAAGAAAATAGATATACTATTCCAAGTATTCTCTATCACATGAGAGATTAAGAACATACTAATATTCAACATCACAAAAAAGTAAGAGTTTGTAAATTGAAAATAATGGCATGGAAGAGTAAAGAGAGAAGAGAAATGTAAATCTATTTATCGTGGTTCGGCACTAACGCCTAAGCCGACATTCATTCGGAGATTTCCACTACTCTCTTCTTAATGGGTGTTAGAGAATTCCAACACCTCTCGTCTTCAAGTAATAAGCCGTTACTCTAGCCCAACCCCCCCCCACACACCATATAGTCCATCAATCATACACAAGTTTTTTGAGATTAAAAAGATATCTTACATTCACAAACATCAATTCTCACGCATCTCATCTTGATCTATTAGTTGGATGCTTTGGCTATCAGCCAAGTGGTCATATGTTCGAGTCTTGCATATATAATATGTGTTAGTTTGCTTTTAATTGATTTAAATGCAGAGAGAGAGAGAGAGAGAGAGAGAGAGAGAGAGAGAGAGAGAAGAAATAAATATAAAAAAGAAGAAGATAGTAATTGGTGCACATTTAGATGGAAGAAACTCTCAAAGTCATAGGATTTGCAAATCAAAGCATAAAAAGTTTTCTTTTAAGAAAAATCTATCTCTCTATGTTCTCCTTTGGAATTTTAAGTCTTTCATTAGTCTTTCATGTGTGGGGTTAGAAAACAAATCAAATTATATTAATTGCATAAATCTCAATACCATAATTCTGTAAAAAAACTAAGTATTATTTGATGAAACAATATGATCCACATCTTACAATATTATTAGTTCAAGCTATTTCATATGTCTTCAATGCTTAACTTTAGTTGCTTAACTCAATTAATAAAGAAAACCCATCATAGAGTATAATGTATATCATCTAATATGACATATTCAAATCTTAAATTAATCTAATTTAAGAAAACTAATTAGGCAATTTAGCATTTTGAAATAGCCAGGATGTTATGGTGTGATTAAAATCATAATATATGAACATTTTAATTTTAAAAAAATATATTTAATTCAAATTTATCTTTTCTTGAATCACAGATTAAGACATATTGTATGATATGATTTGTATTATCTGGTAGGATCCGTTATGATCAATTCATGATTAGATATTTTATTAAATGTTTATTTTAGTTTCAACCTAATTAGTATTTCTTAAATGATTAATTTTAATTGCTTAATTAGATTAATTAAGAAAACCCATCAAATAGTATAATCTAGTATGACAAATTTAAATTTAAATTAATATAATTAAGAAAATTATTTATGCTATTTAGCATTTTGAAATAACCTTGATCATATGGTATGCTTGACATCATAAAGTATAATTATTTTAATTTTTTTTTAAAATTGATCTTATCTTTAATCACCGATTTAGACTTACTGTAGAGTGAGATGTTTGCATTATACAATATGATATGTTATGAAAAATTTATATTAATTTTATTAAATATTTATTTTAGTTTAATCATGTTATGTGTGGGTGTAATCATTCGATTTCTAAATATGAACACACAAATAATATTAAAAAAAAAGTTTTGATCTTTGTAACTCTATGCTTGATTTAGTTTGGTTAGCTTAATTTTCTTGATTTTATGAAAATTTTAATTGGGTCATTAGAAGGCCGTGTTTTTTAAATGTGATCAAATCATCTAAGGCGACTCTCTCTAATCTCATCTTTCACGAGAGCTATTCCCAACATTTTCACGTATACGCTTCGTGTTCTGTCTCTAGAGTAAAATCACTCATTCATGTAGCATCCTCATCTTGCAACACTTAACTTAATATGCCTATCATCTTAAAATTAATTCCATGTGCTATTATTCAAAGAAATCATATATATATAATATATATATATTATATATATATATTATATATATATTATATATATATATATATATATATAAAGAAAAATAATTTTAAAAAAAATTGAGACTATTTCTTATTTGTATTTCCTTAATAATCCATTGCTTGTGATTTCCTTCGCAAGATTAAAACAAAAAATCCTTAATATCCACTAAAATATCAATCTATTAATGCTTTTTTGGACTATGCATTATTTTTTTATTTTTTCTTCCGGCAGGTAGCTGCTGAGCGATTTTTTCTCCAACGACCTATGGCCGTCCTAGCATGGCTAACGGCTATTCTGCTTTTTCTTTTTTCTAAAAAAAAATTAGGTATTTTTTGATATTACTCGTATTGTTCGGTATTGGATCTTCACAGAGCGGTATTTCTCGTTATTGCCAGCAATACATATCAATACCGAGCAAATACCGAGCAAAAACCGAGTAACTCAATGATGACCGCACGTAGAGCTACGTCCGGTCAGAGGACCTAATAAAAGTTTCTTGTTGAGACGACTTTCTTACTGCTTCTTAAAACAGCTTTCTTTTTTACTAAAAAATCACTTCAAGAAACAGTAAAAAAGCCAACCCAAACAAAACAAAAATTAGTAAATTGTCTCAAATGAAGCCTAAATCAAATCCTACACATCATGTAGGCTCATCTTTGTCCGTTGGTTAGAAGCTTTGGCTACCAATCAGAACATCTTGAATTCGAATTCTTGCATGTGTGATGTGTACATGAGTTTACTTGATTAACATAAATATTAAAAAAAATACTCATATATATATATATATATTTCTAATTTAAAATATTTTAATTGAAAGTTTTTTTTTTTGGGAAAATTTTTTTGGTTGAAAGTCAAAACTAATAACTAATAAATGAAGTGTGGGCTGCGTCCTGCTATTTCCTAGAAACTACCTGATTTCTTTTTTGACCGTATCTGGCCCGTCCTGTTTTCTCTCACCCTCAAAGCAATATATTATAGATTTGTAGCGCTCCAATTTGTCGCTGGCTTTATCTGTCCCATAATCCCATCCCCGGTCTTGGAACCATCGCCATATCCCTCCAGCCTTCATAAATCTAGTTGGGATTGATGATTTTAATTTTTTGTGGGTAGAAAAAGGCCGAAGCAGCCGAGAGCGCATCTTCGTCCCCTTCTCTTCCTCCAGCGCTACTGGATTCATTCATTTTACGGGGTATGCCTTTGACCTGATCATGCCTCGAACTGTAATCCATATTTATGGTTTCTTTTTCTTGTATCTTCGTGAGTGGCATCTAATAGCAGCTTGTTTTTTCAGAAATGGTTTGAGATATGGCGTGCTTTAATGTTCTTTTCTGGTTAGGGATTTCAGTTCCAGTTTTTTTGGACACTCCGTGTTTCCTGTTTTTACCGTCATTGATGCATTTAGAATCACAATGAGTTTGCTTCGAGTAGAATCAGAGAAAACCTGGACCTTACTGATAAGATTGATTCAGAAAATTGAGAGAAATAGAGAAAGAGGGTAAGGAAATGAACTTGGATAGAAAGCTGGAGAGGTGGAGGTGGCTATAAACTATATCCTAGGCTTGCGTTTGAACCACTTAATTATAGGCGAGGTAAGTCATAACTTAATAAAACTCAATAGGAAATATTACAGTTAAAAACATGAATAAATTACAAAAATATAGTAATAAAGACTTGTAAAAATATATATCATCTAGTTTTACCTTTTCAATTGCATTTAGTTTTCAAATAAGGGGTAGTTATGGGCGATCCTGCCTAGTCCGCAGCTGGGGTTGAGTTGCTTTGCTATCTGAATTATGCTTTATGTAGTCCTATCTTGGGTCGGAGGTTAGTTGATCTTAGTGTTGAGTTCATCATATCATTGGCAATTTCTTCAAGTCGATCGACCCTATGGCCGATGAAACCTTGTGTTCAACAGGTTTGATCTGATGGACTTGTTGAGTTAACTTGAACTCGGCTCGGCCCAAGATTTTGGGTGTATATTTAGTTTCCTAATTTTCTTCTCTTTGAAGGATCTTTCAAAGAATAGGATAATATAATATCCTTCATTGTTGAGATGGGACTTCAACTGGTGCCAAATGTTCAGATTTGACAATTTCTCTGTGCATAATGTTTAGTTTTGACAATTTCTCCGTGCACGTCAAAGCTAGAATTACTTCAAAGCTTTTTATTTGTGGATGTTGCTTTTACCTGCTTTTATTAGATGAAAGCATAGACCAAGCAAAAACTCTCCATCAAGAAGATGGCAATAATGCTGATGAAGAAATATAAAGCACAGGAAAGGCTAAGGTCTTTTTCGGGTCAAAATCAGGTTGGTGAGTTAATCCTAATCCACCTGTTTATTAAATGGGTCAACCTGAGCCCGAATTTTTCTAGTTGGGCTGGCGGGTCGAGTTATTTATTGACACCCTTACATTACATGTAACATGTTGTAGTCTGCTATTCTTAGTTATCCTGGCTTTTCTTTTTAAGTTAGAGGTGAAGTCTAGGGAACTAGATTGTACTTGAGTAAACTCAACTAATTGGATATAAAGAGCCTCCAATGTGGATGGCTCAAGGAATCTTTTGGGGAGTGAGAGTTTTTTATTTTTTATTTTTTTGGGGAGTGAGAGTTGTGAGAGCATGAAAGCATGAGGGAGAGAGCTTAGTTTTTGCAACCATCTTCCTCTATGGGTGAGAGAGAGTTGGATGAACACGAGTGAGGGTTGACTGAACTGCTTGAACTATCTCTATTACTTTTGGTACTATTGTCTTATCCCGCACCACTATTGGTTTTGTGCCATGGAAACTACTAAACGAAGTGTTGGAACTAAGTGAACTACTATAAACCTAACTCTGACATGTGTCCATGCAAACCATGCTTGGTGCAAGACGGCCGGTCATAGCCTCGATTGTGGTAGGGGTTCCTCAAAGTGATCTATGCTTAGGTAGTGAGGTCCTTAAAATATATCACCATGTCAATTAGGTCAGGCATTTTAGATGAGGAAGCTTCATCTCATGCCACAACCATGTTGAGAAGTGATATCTGTATTAGTTGCCAGGAGACTCAATATCCTCTTACAAATTCTTAAATTAGCACGGTGACTCTAAAAGAGAATGCAAAGAATCAAATCAAAAGATCAAACCAGGGCAGACATGATAGAATGATCAAAATCATACAAAATTTGAAGGACGCAAACTATCATGCTATTGATTATCTTTGATGATAAGCTAAGACACTGTCAACCAATTCAGGAATCATTTTTGGCTGTCACCATAAATTAACAGCTAGAATTAAAGATTAAGGAAATCATGCATTTGATTGAACTTCATGTATTCAGCAAATATTAGATTGTGGCAAATTTGACCAATTACAATCTTACTTTCAAGCAATACTAGAAAACCTAGAAGAAGAAATAGAATAAGAAAGAGAGAATGGAAATTAATCACTAGAAAAGAAAACCTCAGAGTATTAGGAGATAACTTCTATTATAATTATTTGTCTTATACTTTAGCAAGGTCAAAATATTATTGGAGGTGAAGAAAAAGTCTTTACATCGACCAAAAAAGTTTTCTTCATGTTAAAAAATTGACATGCCCGATTCAAAATTTTAATATTTATAGAAATTATTAATTACTAACTACTAACATGTTAACAAAATTGCTTTTAGTGTTTTGAAAACTAGAGTGGACTAGTCAGTTCGATCAATGATGTAATCAAGTTGTTGGTTTGGTCCTGTTCGAAACCGAATTCGAACTTGTTTGAATTGCCTGTTTGACCAAAAATCTACCAAATTGATCCCAATTTTGTAGAATCGGCTGGTTCGAACTAGAGACTTTGATGCATCATTAATTTAAAGCTTATTTTGTGCCTAATGAGTAGTTCATTGAGGACCTTGTTAAGTTTATTGAGCTTAAACTATTAAATTTTATTTTACTAAAATTTTTAATAGTATGTTTTAGTTCTATTAAATCTTTTAAAAATTCATTCAAAAGCATTCGCAAGCATATTCGACAAGGATATTAGTTGCCGCCTCACACGACTAGGCTCGTTGCTTTGTATTATATAAATACAACTACTTAAAACTCATTTATAATGTGGGACTAAAAAACTGTATGAATACTAGATGATGAGTTAGGTTGCAAAATTAAACGAGGCTGCAAATATGGGCTGTTGGAATGGATATTATAAAAGTTAATAACATAAGATTTTTATTTTTCTATTATAAGTTTTATATATTATATTTAATATTATTCTTATTATAAACTATATTTAATATTAATACATCCATATTATGCGAAAAGTCCAGAGATAGCATATGCTTCTCATTATATACTTCTCATTCGAGGACAATTATATATTTAGTTTTAAAAATTTCAATTATTATGTAATTTGTATTATATTTGAATAATTTTAATATTTATTATGTCATCCGGTTCAATCAGTTTTGAACCTCTAAACCATGAAGGCATGAACCTATACTTATTTTGGTTTCATGTCTTATCTCATTTTGAAAACCTTGAATTGTTGATCAATCTTATGATATCGCTAAAATGAATCTATCAAAATATTGCTAATAAATTGATAATTTAAAAGATTTAAAATAACTCAAATATCAATTCCAAAATAATAATAAAAAAATAAAATAGAATTTATTCCCAGGTCAGGTAGTTCATTATATACTTCTCATTCTAGGACAATCATATCAACTGTACACTTTAAAAGATTTGGTTGATGAATGCTGCCTTTTTTATAATTATATGCAAGGAAGTTACTCCACTTGAAGCTCTACATAGCTTTAAAAAGATTAATAACTGACATTTAAATGAAACAATGGTTATTTGGATCAGTCTATTACTATAATTGCATACGCATTCTTTTTAATTTTGGAACTCTGTAAGATCTTTAATGATTTATTTATCGTTTCAATACCTCTAATATATAATTTCAGTTCTCATTATTATCATCCATTTCTTATTAATCTGGGCTACTTATATTCTAGAATGAAATAATTGAATTTTGTATTCAGTTAAATTCATCAGTACAGAGAAATTTCAGAGTATGCTCACAGACAAAATGGATTTGCATTGTTGAGGTGGGTTTGAAATTTTTTTCAACTCCATCTCTTACAAACCATTTGCATGCATGGCATGTGAGGTTTAGGCTTCGTTTGGGATGACTTTCTTATTACTTTTTAAGTAGCTTTTTAGTAAAAAAATGATCCGCAATCATGCAACTCAAACATACACACATGATTTGACTGAATTGTTGCTTTGGTGGCTTCCAGATGGCTTGCTTAGCAACCTCTGAAATATGCGATACGAACCAGGCCCTCGTAATAAAAGGCGATGTTCGAGTTCTTCAGCCAATCTTCCAAATTTATGGACAATGCAGGGCTTTCTCAGGCCCAATTGTGACACTCAAAGTATTTGAGGACAATGTTTTGGTGAGAGACATGCTTGAGAGCCCTGGTGATGGTAGAGTTCTTGTCATCGACGGCGGAGGGAGCACAAGATGTGCCTTAGTTGGAGGTAACCTTGGTCAGCTAGCTCAAAATATGGGTTGGGCTGGTATCCTGGTCAATGGCTGCATAAGAGATGTCGATGAAATCAATGCCTGCGACATCGGGGTTAGGGCTTTGGGTTCCAATCCATTGAAATCAAGCAAGAAGGGCCATGGAGACAAACATGTCCCTGTTAATGTTTGGGGTACAGTAATCCATGATGGAGAATGGCTTTATGCAGATAGTGATGGTATTCTAATTTCAAAGTCAGAGTTATCTGTTTGATTACAGTAATTGCAATTTGAGTTCATTTAGTTTATAGCATAGCTGGATAAGCAGCCAGCGTCTACTTATTTTTTTACAAATAATACATCCATTAAGGTGGAGTCAGTTCATAAAACATTTCTTGATTTTTTTGGTCCTTTGTGTTGATTATAAACAGTAAGGTTTCTTTTATGGATTCATAGACTCCCAACCTATTCATTTCTTAAGTTTAACAAGCAAAGTGAGATTCATTCTTGATTCCTATGAGATTTAGTTTTGGTGACAATGTAAACGTTTCGTTTGGGACAACTTTAGATCTTTGTTTTTATCCTATTTTGAATTTAAGTTTTGTATTAAAAAGCAGATTTATAAAACAGTAAGAAAACCATCCCAAATTACCCCAAATTATAGAAATGTCATTTATTATTACATATGCACCATCATGTTTCAATAACTATTTATTCCACGTTTATTTATAATACTCTGATTTATATTAGTTTAATTCCATTTGCTCATTGCATTGAGTTTAGGGGTGTCAATTCGAGTTAGCGGGTTGGGTTCGGGTCGAACCCGAATTGACCCGGCTCTAAACGGGTCAACCCGAACCCGACCCGTGTGAGTTGCCGAGTTGACACGACCCAACCCGGATTTAAAAAAAAAAAAAAAAACTCAAACGCCTGAGTTTTCGGTCGCTACTCCTAGCGGCGTAGCGGCAGCGGTGGAGCAGTGGTAGAGCAGCAGCAGCAGTAGTAGGGCCGGCAGGCTACAGCGGCAACACGCGACGCGACTCAACGAAGTCGACGCGATGGCGCGATGCTTCGGTAGCATGCCGGTTCAGGACGCGCAGGCGCGCACACGCGAGACTCGACTGTCTCGACGCTTCGGGACGTGCACCGCGCAGGCGTTGACACGACTAATGACTTGACAACTGACGCTTTGGGCAGGGCGAGCAGCAGACTCGGGCAGAGGATTTTCAGGTTAATTTCGGGTCATTTTCGGGTTGCCGGGTGGCCCGGGTCAAACCGAATCCGACCCATTTTTGAAACGGGACAGTTTATTGAACCCGAACCTGACCCGTTTCACAACAGGTTGACCCGAACCCGGATTTTTCCGAGTCGGATTTTGGGTCGCGTCAAAAATTGACACCCTAATTGAGTTGAAACCATCAACAAACACTGGTGCATTTTTTTAATAAAATATTATAATCAGATAATGAAATGAGCATAGAAGCAATAATTATAATAAATTGCCAAAAGAGAATAGTAGCATGACAAATTCGAAAAATATTGAGAGGCCTCATCCAATTCAGAGTACTAGTATAATTACAAAAAAAAAAAAAAAAAAAAAAAAAAAAAAAAAAACTACTAATAATCATCCACTTCAACAAGTAGTTGCATCACAAGACGATGTTTACCTTTGAGAAGAGCGAGCTCCCACTGTTAATTCAGACCCAACGTCGTCGAACTGCAGTGACTCCCGATCAGGAAGGGAGTGCCATCATCGGAGGCGGCAAATAAGCTAGCGACTGATTCAAAATTCCACCTCAAGTGAAGTAGATGAACAGCGAAGAAATGGAGAAAATAGGGTAATTGAAGCCCACCGACATCCGGAAGCCAACAGACCCCAACAAATTCCACAAATGATCAATGAACGCCTGCTAGCAGATGGAGGCGCTCCGATCTCGAGACGAGCCGCCAGAGGGATGATCGCTGCATGAACGGACGGCAACGAAGGAACAAGCACGGCAGGCGAGGCAGCTTGAGAGGAAGGCGGTGGAGACGATGACAACGATGGTTAAAAACAAAAGTTTATGGAAAACGAACCGTACCGAGAAATCAACATCGTCATCTAGGTCGTCAAGAATGTAGACGTCACTATAGCGTGCGCAAAGGCGCCTGCTCCCTACAGAGAGATGGCCGGTGACCTAGGGGTCGAGCACAAGGGCACAAGCACGGCGGGCGAGTTGCGCGCAGTCGAGTCTACAAATGCAGGCATAAATGCTAAGGTCTAATAGATTAGATAAAATCATCAAATATGCAAATACAAAGCATTCATATTTAATGATAATTTTTTTAATGTGCATGAAAAGATCAAAAAAAAAAAAAAAAAAATTCAATTGATTTAGTTAAAAAAAAAAATATGCAAAAAAATATTACCTTTTAAAAGGAGCATTATAAGTTATCTTGCTATTCATCAAATTAGATCATCCTAAAAGTTCATATTGTATCACCAATTTATTTAAAATTATAGACCAACATCCATAATTTTGCTCTTGCATTTAAAAATAGTAAGGGTTGTTTGATTTTGTTGCAGTTAAAAATAATAAGGGAGCTTGATTTGTTGAAAAAAAAAAGAGAGTATTTCAAATTTTAGGCTTGATTTGATGAAAAAAGAATATTATATAGAATTTTAATGAATTCTTGTTAACTCTAATTCATTTTTAATATCTTATAAATTTGTCTATTTTTAGCTAAATTTTTTTTTCACCGTGAGCTGACTACGATGTCGCCGCTCACTACAACCAACTACCTGTCATTTAACTTCACATTATATTCATTTTACTTCAACTTCAAATTTTTTTAACACACTATATTCTTTTTACTCCGCATTTCTTAAATTCAATCAAGTATGTGCACATATATATATATATATATATATATAAACAACAAACAAAAATTCAAAATATATATACAAATGTAACTATTAGACCTTCAAGCCTATTATATATATATAACCTACACATGTACCCGAACATACATAGAACAAAACATCCTCAAGTCAAAATAAATAACTTCATATTTCAAGTTGACAATAATGCAAGCTATTATCAAGACATCTGGGTTTCCAACATAATTATTAGTCCCACTTCAATTGACAAGAAATAATATCATCAAAATCTTCTTCTTTATCAAAATATCACCTAAAGCTTTAAAATGAACTAAAATTTACATGCATCTGCACATAATACAATAAATCATTAACAAAATAAAAGTAAATACTTCTGTTATGTTCTTGAAAATTTTGGTGATATTATTATAAATATAAATATTTGGGTGATAATTTTACAACAAAAACAACAACAACATAAAACCTTAATTCTACTACATCGGGCCATCTATATAAATTCTTTTTCTTCGTTGTATTCCAATACACATTTAAATCTAATAAAAAAATATTTTATACCCAATTTTTTTTAGGTCTATCTCTACCATTCTGAATATAGTCCAAATCTAATACATATACTCTCCTAACCGGTCATCAGAAGGTTGCCGTTTTACATTTGCAAATTAAAAAAAAAAAAAGATTTTACACAAAATTGCCTTTGTTTAACACTATGGAGAAGCCATTTTCCATTTCCAAATGTCAATGAAATAACCAAACAAGAAGATACAAACGAACAAGCCTTTACTACAGAGTTATTGGATGACCAGTACAGTTTATAAAATAAGTATAAAAGAACCTCACATTATTCCCTTCATACATCTGAAAACAATCAGAATATAAGCAGTTACAAAAGCAGAATTTCCTGCTGTCAAACACACTGCGTCTCGTATGGTTAAATTGCTATGAAGTGAGCCGTAAATGAACAATTGCTGTGTATCTAAGTTAGTGTAGTTCATGCAACCTCGTTAAATCAACGATCTCAGTTAACATCGATCAGTCATATTCCATTCTTTGGAGCTCTCTATTTGATGCAAAATGAAGTGAATTTCCAGTTGTAAATCTACCGATGTCCTTGAAAAGAGCCTCCTCTTGTTGTAAGCGGTTCGTCCTCTGTTGCAAAAAATAAAATTTCAGAAGGGAAGAGGAAAAAGTAATGGGAAAGGTGCGGTAGAATGGCCCTTTTATTTTTAATACTATGTGTATTATTGTAATTGCTAAACTTGATATTCAACATGCTACAAAGGCCCTCTAGAGGCGTCCACACTTCATAGGCTTCGTTTGGGATGAATTTTTACAGTTTCTTAAAGCAGCTTTTTAGTACAAAAAATTTACTTTTTATACTAAAAAGCTGTTTTAAGAAGCAATACGAAAGCCATCCCAAACGAAACCACAATCATTATCCCTACCATTAAATACCATGTAAAGGCCTTCAATGCCGTTTGATAAAATTGCGCTCTCATGTCCCTTTAAAGTTTTGTTGTCCGGTACTAAAGTTAGGACTCTAGGCATGGTTCCAACACTCAAAACAATTTAAATTAATATTTCATAACTTACACTTCCGTTTTCTTACTGTTCAAAAATCATGTTGAGCTTAGTATTCGAAGCTAAGCTGATTAAGATTGGGCCACCATTTGCTAAGCATTTCTTGGCCACAAAACATCCCAAAATCTGTTGTTTAGCACTTAGAACATCCATTTATCCATCATTCATATTAATTTTTTAATGATGACAAATTTAAATTTGACCAAAACTCACAGAGCAAATATCATATAAAGTGTATCCATATAACCATATTAAAAAATCTCATGCTAGTAAGAACGTGACTAATATCCCTTGATTAGGTGGTTAGCCTGATTGCAATATTGTCTTTATATTATAGTTACGACCCATGTTCGAATGTTCCTAAATGGTTGAGCCTAATTGCAGTGGGCAATAAGATGTACTAGATAGTGCATAAAGCCCTTTGTTAGCAAGGAATGACTTAAAATTGGCCATTTTCGAGAAGCTTCCCCCCTTAAATCTATATGAGGTTTCTTTGGATGATGCAACAAATGGTCCTAGACAATGACATTTAGTTAGATTGTGTCGATTATATCTGCTGAATAAATAGACTAAAGCCAATGATAAATGAAAATGACAACCATAAAGTCTTGATTGAGGTTGTACCATCATCCGCTCTAAACCAAAAAATGATATATCTTTCTTAACCTAATCCAAATTGGTGCTCCTAAAACAAGCATCATAATACCTACTGATTTAGCCTTAAATTGAAGTTCTTTCTCAGAATTGAGAGGGTTAATTTACCACACAATCTTTTATTAGGAGGAAATCTCAAATAATATCATAAAATCTTCATTAAAGGCACAATTATTAGGTAGCATTTTATCTAAATATCTAATAGGATTTGATGACCAAAACAACACATAAAAATATTAAAAACAACACAATTATTTCAATTAAGTCCAGCAATAGCACCAAGGGGCTGTAATTACTAATCTCCAAGCAAAAAAAAAAAAAAAAAATTGATTCACTATTCGAGAGGTGCCACAATTCCTAGCACCATTAGGAACCCAAAAAAACTCCCACAAAAAACTGTTGCAACAAATAAAATTCCAAACATAAACCCTAATATCTTTATAAAAAGAGTTCCCCAAAGCCTCTTTCCTGTAGGTGATAAAGGAGGTCATGTGCCCCACCTAATCTCAATATAAAAAACAACACATAAAAATATAAAAAACAACACAATTATTTCAATTAAATCCAGCAATAGCACCAAGGGGCTGTAATTACTAATCTCCAAGCAAAAAAAAAAAAAAAAAAACAAGTTGATTCACTATTCGAGAGGTGAATCGTTTCTCCCACAATTCCTAGCAACCATTAGGAACCCAAAAAACTCCCACAAAAAACTGTTGCAACAAATAAAATTCCAAACATAAACCCTAATATCTTTATAAAAAGAGTTTCCCCCAAAACCTCTTTTCCTGTAGGTGATAAAGGAGGTCATGGGCCCCACCTAAGCACTTGGGTTGCTGCCCACCTTGGTAGCTGCTGCATCACTAGCCCCCTCCCAAAAAGTCACCTTATCCTCCAGGTGGAAAGAGAAACTACTTCTGGATGGTACTGTAAGGCTCTCAGGTTGCCTCATACTCTGACAAATCCTTTCACTTGATCAACACCTCCATGAACCCCTTGTCTCCTTGGCGTATCCCTTTCACCTCCAGTGTTTCCAATAACACCTTCATATCCTCTAAGAGTGGCTGATAGTACGGGCGAGGGTGTGTTGTTTCCCAATGGTTCATCTCAATTGCAATACATGAAATACAAGATGAATGGCTGAGGTCGGTGGAAACCGTAGGTGATATGCCAATGCGCCAATGTGTTCCACTACCTCATCGTCGAGCCAAAGTCTTCTACATATGGTCGAATCTTCAGATAAACCTTGTTCCCTACCTCAAACTGCACGTCTCTCTTGTGTCAATCTACCTACTTTTTCATTATTTGTTGTGCTCTCTATAGATATTCCTTCAATTATGCCAAAATCTGATCCCTTTCTGCCATGTATTGCTCCACTAATAATACTAGTGTGTTGCCATGCCCATAATGTATTAAATGAGGAGGATCCCTCCCCTACAGGATTTTAAACAACATTGTCTGGGTTGCTGTATGATATGAAGTGTTATACCAATATTCCGCCCAGGCTAACCACTTAGCCCACATCTTTTGTTATTTGATACAAAGTAACAAAGAAAAGTCTCCACACTGCGATTAACCACCTCTGTTTGGCCATCCGGATAGTCCATTGCATCTTGAATAACTCACTCTAAAAGTGACTTAGGAAGACCTTGTCTCGATCGGACATAATGGCTTCAGGTATGCCATGCAAATGGACCACCTCTTTAATGAATGTGGCTATCACTGACACCGCGGTGTGTGGGTGACGTAAGAGAATAAAATGAGCATATTTGCTCAATCTATCCACCACCACTAGGATCACAGTGAACCCTTTAGATCTAGGTAGTCCTTCAATGAAGTCTCTATAGTCACCTCTTCCCACACCTGCTCGGGTAAAGTCAAAGGCTGTAGAAGACCATCTGGAGCCATAGCAAGGTATTTGTGTCTCTGGCATACATCACAACTTGCCATCAACTCCACTCCATCCTTTCGCATGCCCACCAAGTATATCTCCACTTTGAATCTATGATATGCCTTCTGAATGCTTGAATGTCTCCCAATAGTTGTGCTATGAAACTCCTGCAACATGAGAGGGATGTGTGGCGATGTCCTCGAGAGCACAAACCGTCCCTGACATAACAGCTTTTGACCCATCAAAGAGTAACTAGGATGGCTATCCTTGGCTATCCTTATCCTGTAGTGAGTCTCCCTTGATCTTATTCTGCTCTTCATCCTGCTCGCTCTCATGCTTCGAAGCAACCCAATCCATCATCATGCGAACAGATAGAGCCATAACCTATGGGTCTTTACTACGCCTAGAGAGAGTATATGCAACATTATTTTCTAGCTCGGGCTTGCAATGAATCTTGAAGTCATAACTGAACAACTTGAAAAGACACTGCTAATACTCCTCTATCACCATCCACTGCTCTAATAGGAACTTTAAACTCCTTCTATAGGTCTTGATTATGAAGTGTCCTCCCAACAGGTAAGGTCGCCACTTCTGTATTGCCAACACTATCGCCATCAGTGATCTTTCATGCACTGATTTTAGCCTTGCCCTAGCAGTCAACACCTAGCTAAAATAAGCTATGGGCATCTAACTCTGCATGAGAACTTCCAATCCATAGTCTATACTATAAATGGTTGGCTAAAATCTGGTAGTGTTAACAAAGGGACACTCGTCATTACTTTCTTCAGCTGCTCAAATGCCTGGGTGGCTGCCACTCCCCATTTGAAACTATCCTTCTTCAATTTCTCTGTCAACGACCATGCTACAGAATTGTATCCCCTCAAAAACTTCCTGTAGTACCCTGTGAGTCCAAAGAACCTCTCAACTCCTTCAGGGTTTTGGGTAAGGGCCACTCCAACATAGCCTCTATCTCGGAAAGATTTTCAACTACTCTTGATTTGGACACCTCATGTCCCAAATACTCCACCCTTTGTTGTGCAAAGGAACACTTCTTCAAATTAGCATACAATTGATGCTCCTTCAATGTCACTCACACTACTCTCAAGTGCTCCACATGCTCTGCCTCATACAGACTATACACCAAAATGACATCAAAGAAAACCAATACAAACTTGCGGAGGTAGGGCTAAAATACCTTATTTATAAGCGTCTGTAAGGTAGCTGGGGCGTTGGTAAGCCCATAAGGCATCACTAAAAACTCATAGTGCCTTTATGAGTCTTGAAAGCAATTTTGTGGATGTCAATGGGCCACATTTTCATATGATGGTATATTGATTTTAGATCAATCTTAGAGAATATCACTGCCCGATAAAACTCATCCATCAACTCATCAATGATTGGTATAAGAAACTTATCCAAAATCGTTTCCTTATTTAGAGCCTGATAATCTAAACAAAATCCTTCAAACTACCATCCTTCTTCACCAATAACATAGGATTGTAGAAGGGACTAACAATGGGATGAATGATCTAGGCCTCCAATATCTTCTAAATTAGTCTCTTAATTTCATCCTTCTGAACCTATGGGTATTGGTAGGGTCGAACACTAATAGAGAATATCCCCATAGGGGCTTGCCATCTCAAACTTTTGGTGCTTGAGAATTTTTTTGATTAAATTAGTGATTTTATTTTCTTTGAGAGTCATCAAAATGTTGGTTAAAATTTGATTTTAAAATCCATGAAATTTTGTTTTAAAGAGTTTTGGCATTTAGGAATTTCAAATGATGGAAGGGTGAACTTAAAATCAGATTTTGGAATGAGAGCCAAAGGAATGAAGTAGGAGCACTTGAGTTTGAGAAATCTCAGAGGTGCTCGGACTATCCTATGTTGAGCTTTACATTTTAGAATTTAATTTTTATTTAAGTTGACATTTTCATTAAAATGATGGGGCTTAAATTCAAACAACATATGTTCGAGGAATTGTCCGAAAGATGAGGGCATGTATGGTGATTGGAATCAGCCATTGT